CCTCTCGAATCGCAGCCAGAAAGTCTCTATTAACAATGTTATGTCAACTTCTCAAATTGTAACTTCCGGCGTACCTCAGGGGTCTATTCTGGGGCCGCTCCTCTTCATCTTATATACGAGCGATATCCTAACCTCTATTAAATATTGCAAAATTCAAGCATACGCAGATGATACCCAGATTTACTCAAACCTCAATATGGAAAACTTTCAATCTGTTCAAAACCACATCAACAGTGACCTCAGAATAATAAATGACCTAGCCGATAAACATTACTTGAAACTCAATAAAAGCAAATGTCATTTCATATTATTTGGTAACAAAAATTTAAGAATGCGCCTCTCACAAGATATATCTATTGAAATAGACGACACCCCTCTATCTATTGTGGAATCCACGAAAAACCTGGGTATTTTCTTTGACTCCGATCTAAAATTCACTTTACATATTAATAGTCTGCTCAAAAAATCATTCAGCTCTTCGAAAATGATCTATCCACATAGGCACTACCTCAATCAACCCATACGGAAATTGCTGAGTGAATCACTTGTCCTGTCTAGGTTCAATTACGGTGATATTGTTTACGGTGATTTACTCACTAAATTTGATCAGAATCGTATTCAGAAAGTACAGAACTTTTGTTGTCGATTCATCTTCTCCCTCAAAAAATACGATCATTTTTCCAATAAAATGAGGGAACTGAAGTGGCTTACAATGGCTAATCGTTCTAAATACAATTTTTGTGTCTTTCTATATAAAATAATAAAGAACAGGATTCCTTTATATCTCTATTGTAAATTAACTCCAAGGTCATCTTTACATTCATTAGAAGTGAGAAATAAACATCACTTTAATGTTCCTCGTCACTGTTCAGTCATGTTCCAGAAATCCTTCACCTATCAGGCTGTAAAATTTTACAATTCACTCCTCATCAATCACCTTCATTTATCTGAATTTAATATCAAGAAATTGCTGAAAGCGAAATTTTGTGAATCCCCAATATAAATTAAGACTTGAAACTCTATTACCTAGTTATACTTTGACAAATTACTTTTGTTTATTCGACTTACGATGATTATGTTCTTTATTACCTCATGAATGTCTGTATTAGCTAAATTTTCTGTCGATTGTACAATTTAGGTTAAGTGTAAGAGTAGCAATAGCTAAACTTCGCCTACTTTGTACCAAAGAAAAAATAAAGACGATTTATTATTATTATTATTATTATAATTACACTGCACAATAAGTCATTTATTCCATAATGGAAACCTTGTACGTCAATTATGAAGATTTCATGAAGTCAACTCATTCACTATTTCGAAAAGATTTCCAAATAACCAATTTGCAATACGGCAATGTTTTCGTTGTTCATACTCAGTTTGAAATTTGACGTTGATTTGACGTTAAATAGCGCCATCTATTGATTTTCGCGAATTGCAAAGTCACACACATTGTTGGTGCGTTAATTCTTTCACAGAATCTTTGTTGATTCAAGTAATTTCTCAATGTCGATAGTTTTCGGGGGACAATCGTTCGTGGACGTTATTCTGGCGATAACAGACCGTTTAATTTGAATGTTCTTGAAGATAACAGAAGATATATGGGTCATGCCATAGAGTGCCATAGACAGTATCAGGCCTGTAAACAAATTACAAAGATAACGCTCTTCCAAATCGTACATTCCATCTAATGTCTCTAATTTTTCACCGCAGGATATTCAGGAAAACCTTCTGGCGTGCTTCGCAGCTATTAGGGCCTGAATTGAGTGTGGCACATTAACATAATCAACGCAAGTTGGTCGCTGTCCTGGAACGCAATTCTCTCGGAACTAAGTGAATTGAAACGCAATCTTGGACGTGGTTTCCAGCGACTCGAACGCTAATTGGTCCGTGGAAAAAACAATTTGGTATCGCAAGAATCCAGCTGTATCAAAATTGGATTGATTTCGCGTGTTCACTGATAAAATTTGGTGGGATAAAACAGTTCAGTTTCTGTAGAATATCGCATTATCCGTAATGCTTTTTCACAAATGTACGCACAGTTGCCACTTGAATATACAGGGTGATTCAAAAGTAAGCGGCATCCTTCCAGGGGCGTATACCTTGCACGAAAATAAGGCGAATAGTTTCTATCAATAAGGATCATAGTTAATCACGTATACTCTTAGATAAAAGCAAAATAAAAGATAATATTTCAAATAATGCGAGCGCTTCCCATTATAGCCAACATAAGATAGAAAACGATAGGTATCGTATCCGTAACCACTGCGGGTTGCCTGAACAATATTTTTGCCTCACTCGACGTTCACAGAGGTTCCCTTTCAGGTGTTTATATTGAGTTGCGTGTTTCATTATCTATAAACTTTGAAACTTGGGTGCTATCAGTTGTAGACAAAACAATGTCCATAGATAAGATAGATAGATAACTTTATTTGAAATAGGTACATCCTAATATGCAGCAGAGATAATGTTAAACATTAATATAAACACAATCAAAAAAAGAAATATCTATAATATTTGTTTAGAAGTAGTAACTACATTATTAACATACAAAAAATACATAATGACAACTAACAATTTGGCATCATCCTATTGGTCTCTTAAATAGCTTAATAAATCCTTTTTGAACAGAGTAAGACTGGTACAAGACTTTACATTTTCAGGTAGACTGTTATAAGTAATAAATCCTTTGAAGGTTAATGTTTTAGTATTGATTATTTACGTACAAATCATTTCTTATTCTAGTATTATACTGATGAATTTGATTATTAAAGATTACAAATTTGTCAAAATATGAAGGTAGAAGATTATGTAACATTTTGTAAATATATATCATCGTTAAATATGTAAGCCTGCTTTCTAGATGTCGGGGTACTCCTGTCACATCCCAAAATAATCCTCATCACTCGATTCTGTAATTTCTGTAGTGTTTTCATTTCATTTAAATCAGATGTGTACAAAAGAGTGGGACAAAATTCAAAATGTGGTTGTATAATAGTCTTATACACTGTTATTTGTGACTGCATAGTTAAGTGCTGAGATACTCTTGTGAAAACATACAATTTCTTTCTTCTAAAATGGCTATTCAGTGATAAATGATTGTCTAACATGAATCCTAAATATTTAAATTCAGTATCAAACTCAATTTTTTGTCATTATCAATTTTTATTTCAATTGGCTTCAAATCTAATGCTCTGTATTTGAAAGGTGTAGTAAGTATCATGGATTTTGTTTTGTTAAGATGTAGATTAAGAGTAACAATGGCCCTAGAATACTTCCCTGGGGATTGCCATGGTCTACACCGATTGCTGTTGAAACATAATCATTAATTTTGGTAACCTGTTTCCTACCTGTGAGGTAATCACTGATCCACTCAAGTACTTCTCCTTTTATGCAATATTTTTTTAATTTTCTGATTAATATTTCACGATAAACAGTTTCAAACGCTCGTTTCAGATCTAAAAATATTGCTACAGTGTACATGCCTTTACTCATTTTACTTTTCCACTCAGTGAGAGTAAGCTGAAGTGCGGATTCGCATGAATGGTTGGATCTGAAACCAGATTGGTTGGTGAAGAGTATATTTGTATTTGAAAAATATCGTCCTCAGAATCCAAGTCATGAACATCGTCACACACATCCACAGACACATTCTGAAACATAAATTACTATAGGTTTTCTAAGAAATCTGAACAATTTTCTACTCACCCATGAAGGACAATTTCTGTTCGTCTTGCTTGTTCTGCATCTAAAGGCAACACAATATAAATGACCATTGTTTATCAATTCGAAACTACCAACCTTCTCAACAACAATCAATTCACACCAACAAATTAAGTAGTTTTGAAGAAACGAAACACGCCAAATTTAGCGATAATTCACATAACTAACAACAATGACGTTCTATTTTCACATTTTTGCCTGTTTAGATAATAAAAGGTCCCAAGTACTCCAATTATTGAATGAAAGAAAATTTATACACCAATCCGCCATTGAACATCACGAGTGTGAAAGAGACTGGTAACCGTAACACAAACTATCTTTGTTCCAGTTGTTTATATACCCAGAAACAAATAGTCATAAGAATGGATTTGAATATGCAATGAGTACTTCAACAGGATGAAATTGTCTCATATAAAATGCCTTATCATTAGGTTTTAATTAAGCATCAGAGAAAATTGGTTTCAAGTATATTTTGCGTCATATTTACTATAAACAGATGTCGGCAATTGATGGAAGCGAGAAATAAAAAAGATTCATTGATACTGCCGTCGAAAATGTTGTTTTTCCACATTTTTCAAACGACTCACCCATATTTAGCAAACATTCATACAGTTTTATCAACTGGTAAAAATACATTATTTTTGAGGCGTTGCTTTTTTTAAGCATATCTGTTATGTTTTCGATGTCATCGTTCTCATTTTACAGTCTCAATCTTCACAAAAAAGACTATTTGATAAAGTAGGAAATTATCATATCATACCGCCATGTTTACTCTCTTTTATAACTATTTATTGTTTTTACTCCATTTTTACATGTTGAGAACTGTCGCTTTGAAGCATGTAGGTTTGAACTCGTGCTTAAAAGGCTTTGAAGGAAGCAGTTTCAGGTTTTATCATTGCTTTGAGGCATACTATAATAAATTCCTTTTAGTTTTATAACAAGCTTTGAGAGAAGCTGTGACAGCTTTTATAAAGGTGAGCCCTCTTCATGTTTTGAGAGGGTTGTTTTATTGTTTCAATGATATTATTGAAGTATGATAGTTTTGAAAAGGCATTTTGGAATTGGCTGTAACAACCCCGTGTAGCTAACAATAAAACTGATGATAATATTTGGGTATACAGTTTCGTATAACAGCTAATAGATATTTCTCTTGGTGTGGTTTTGCGGTCGTAATACACTTCTTCCAAGGACTACTTCATTGTCCAGTGGATAATTTGAGCATTGTTTTCTTATGTTTCACTCTCAAATTCTTTGATTTATTTCAGGTAATTGAGAACAAGATGAGTTTCCTGAACTCCCTATCGGAATACGTCACCAATAGTGTCGCTGGATTGAACCTGAGTCCAAAACGGTAAGTTGTCAAACCTAGAATCCAATTCATCAAATGCCAGCAAATAAACTGAAAAGCTACTACACTGAAAATTGAATGAGTTCACTCAAACTCCATTCAATATTGTGTCGATTACGGTGCACGCCCGATTGAGTTGACTTGACTGAGTGAAATAGTAATTTAATGAGTGAATATATAAGAAATCAGAATCGAGTGAATGTTCCCAGTTTAGATTCGAATATATATATATCAGTTTCGCGATTTCATGCGCGAGTATCAACTCATTTTTGAGTGTAAAGATCATTCATCAAGTATATAAGATGTTCTGCAGGTCTCCAAATAAGTGACCACGAAGGGGTGCGAAGCCTCAACTCGACGGGTTGATCTCGCGGGGACTGCCAAGGGAGGAACAATTGTTGATATTTTATAAGAGCATTGTCCATGAAAATATCTATAAAATAGAGCCAGATCGACAACTCTTTTACGGTGTTCCAGAGGAGTCAGTTCGTGAGCGAGGCATCAACCACGAGATGAATTGTCCTTTTTTGGATAGAATCCAACAGTTCCAGAGTATGTTTTGGTGCTGCATTCCAAATATAGGAACAATATTCCAGGACAGGTCGGATCTGTGCCTAATAGATCATGAGCAGTTGACTGAAAGTGAAATAGGTCCTGGCCCGAAACAGAAAACCAAGTTTTTGCGATGCACTTTTAGCAATTATTGATCTCACGTGATTATCCCAAGAAAAGTTATTGCTGATAGTAATACCAAGCATCGACATGAATGTCTTCAAAAGTATGGTTACTCCTGAAAAGCTTATGTTGGACACAGTGAGATCGGCTTTTCTAGAGAGAAGGTATGCTTGTGTTTTGTTTGCATTGAAATCTACCAAGTTATTGGATCCCCATTCGAGAATTGTTGCCAACTCCATATTTATGTTATCAACATTTCTTCCTCGTTAGTTTCTGATTTGCCTGGCTGGTATTGGAGCCCAGGAAGAGAAGGCGGTATGGAGGGTACTATCATCCGCGAAGCTGTGTACTGGACATGAAGTTGCTTCCAACAAATCGTTGATATGGAGTGAAAATAGTGTTGGTGCTAGAATCGATCCTTGCGGGACACCAGCATTTATGATAAGAGAGTCAGATGCAACTTCGTCGACCACTACGTGGAAAGACCTGTTTGAGAGAGAACTAGCTAGCAGAGAACATAGCTGGGGAGGCAAGCCATAGGATGGAAGCTTGGCGAGGAGTCCGTGGTGCCAGGCCCGATCGAATGCCTTGCATGGAGATATCAAGTGCCACGGATACGGTTTCACCATATTTTTCAATAGACTTCAATAGATATATGGCAGCATATGTGGGACGTAAGCGAGCAAGTCACTAGTTGATCTCTGATAACGGAAGCTATATTGCCTATCGTTGATAATGCCTGAATGTTCCGGGTATTCCATGAGCTCGATATTGATAGCTTCCTCCATGATCTTCGAAATAAAAGATAGCAGTGCGATCGGTCTGTAGTTGCTAGGCAGGGTCTTTTTTGCTTTTTTAAGCAACTGGTTGTACATTTGCAATTTCCCAGTTGGACAGGAATATCCCCAATTTGTAAGAGTAGTTGAATAACTTGCAAGAGAACAGATGTTCGTTCGGGAACACATTTCTCGAGAACAATCGGTGGGATTCCGTCGGAGCCATCAGCTTTATTAGTGTTGATACCCAATTAAATCTTATCCTTATAGTACGTTGGTGAAAGGTGATCTCGGGCATAGAACTGTCAATTGGCGCTATGTTTGGAGGTTGTTCTTTCGATGAATCCAGAGTATAATTTCAATCAAATGAATGAGCAAAAATGTTGGCTTCCTCCTGGGCAGTTGTGGCTAGTGTTCCATCTTCCTTGGTTAGAGGAGGAAACGAGCTGGAAGTGAAGTTTCTTCCTACAGCTTTGGCGAAGGACCAAAATGAACGGGATCCGTTAAGACATTCAACAAGTTATTTCACGCTATTCAAGGATGTCTCAAACATTTGCAAGAAAACCCGAATATACTGATGTTATTGTCGTTTAATAACTCCAGAGTTCTTTCCAAGGGTGCATGTTCAGCATAATTTGTGAATTGGAATGGTGAGTGGAATAACAATTTATGTCTAAGATTTCTGTTGGAGTTAAATGTTCCTAGTAATTCCGGACACGATATTGATAATCCATTTTGAATTTTGAGTACAAAACAAAGATCTGAATGAGTTCTTCTTGTTTCCAACGATATCTGAATAATCATGGTTTTGTATCTGAAAACCTCATCTATATGCATGAATTCTCAAAAATGTATTTTGTATATTTTCTAAGGAAGTATAGAGTGAACACCCTCCATTGATGCCTGTATTGATAAACCTGACAAATTGCGAGTGATTGAACCTAGTACTTCGTATGACTTCAGAATAACTTTGTTTTTCTGCAACCGACACAAAAGTCGTCCATTTTGATACCAAAATTAGCTCTTAAATTGACGTTTCTATTACTGACACAAAAATAGGTATGTTGCTAGTCAACATATTTAGTTCCTAGGAGCTAAAGTTGAACTTCAGTTCCTAGGAGCTAAAGTTGAACTTTAGCTCCTAGGAACTAAAAAGGAAGTACTGGAAGTCATCAAGAATAAACAACATTGTAACGGTTGGTTATTTGGGTTGAGACCCATACCTGATTTGTTTCCGATTTCGGCAGATTTGGCATTTCATACCCATGCTGGAGATATAAATTCACCTTATTATAGTTATGTATTGGAATTATAAACATCTCAGTTAAGTATTTTTGTTTTGATCAGGGAAGCCTTCAAGATTAAAATACTTGCTGGATCTGTATTTCATTCGTTATTCTCGGGATGGATAACTTGTTTTTGAATAATCACGGGAAGCTTTTTTTTCTCAAACAACGATATTGTTTACCTTCATTTGATTATCAAGCGAAAAATATTGTATTATGGAGAGGAGTGAATAATCCCTATTATTATTGTTGATATGCTCACTAACCTAACATTTTCCACGTCTTGTTCCTATAGCTGGCACTGGCGCGGTATTTGCCATTAGAGCACCTAGTCCATACACAAATATGTCATTTTGTGATTGTATTTATATTGAAACTACAATTCGAACATCTTTGAAAATTGAATGAACCTGCTGATGATGCAGGTAGAATGTTCTCACTACACGGATTATTTGTCAATATTTGTTGCATTGCATACATATGGCACGGCATTGGTGGTAACTTCACATATTTATTTGAGTTAATTGTTTCGGTTGCAGAAAAAATTGCATGATTCATTCGGATCAAAAGTGACTTTGTTCGACTCGCAAATTTTGCTTTCGCTCGGCTTCGCTGAACGCTCCGCCTCGCAAATGCAAAATTCGCTTGTCAAACAAAGTGTCACTTTTGATCCTTATAAAACAATCTACTATTATGTTCTCAACAAATCTGGGCTGCTCATCAAAAACTACTTTCTTATAGAGAATGTGTACTCTACTTGATGATCATTTATGTTGTCAGAGGTATCACCGCATATTAACAGCCGAATTGAAAATTAATTAATCAAAACTAATTTATCTTGTTGTGGGTATGTTACCCTACTAGAGACCAGTTTTCGAATAACGTTTTCAACAAATATTTTATAGATCTCATGAATAATCACGACTGAATCATCCAATCAGTTTTGATAACACTGTGTCAATTGATATTCAATATACTTCATTTGGGAATAATGTAATCAATGGAAATTTCATTTAGTCATTTCTAATTTGAGATACTCTGATTTGATTAAATCAATTCTCAGTCACTATTGAGTGAAAAGCGAACACACGAACATGGCCGTGCATGGCTGTGAAAGAAATCAACGGCGATATGGAATTGACTATTTAACAAAAGAATATAGGGAAATTGATTTACTTAACGTCAGGTAATCGGATATAAATCAATACTTCATACAATCCAATAAATAAGAATCACACCATCCAAATGAATATTTGATACAATTCACGATCAGCTATGTTGTTGAAAGCCATCATGTTTTGTGTTCGAACTTGCAGTTAGTACTTCTATACCATTTTAATTCACTCCGCTGAATTCAAAAACAAAGGATGACAGGATTGTTTTTATACACTATAATTCCACCAAGACTGACGCTGCGTTATTTATTGGGACAAATCGGCCTCTGCTTAGTCTTGACTGGCTCGAGGCTTCCTTTCGCCGATGACCAAATTGATTCGGGCATTCTTCTACTTCGAAGTTCTTCATTTGGAATCATAACATGATATTTTGGTGACTCAGAATTGCCGACATGTTTTCCCATATACAATGGAACCACAACAGATACTGAGCATGGATTGGCCCAATTATTTGGTGAAATCGATCGAGAATGAGTGATTTTCACATGTTCCATCTAATCGATTGACTGAAAGTCACTTCAAAATGGTTTTCTGGTTCGTTCCAATTCAAATTGTGTGCTACTCAATCAGATTTGTCATAGACATCATCATTATTGGAAGAGATCGTGAAAATTTGCTAATTTTCATCGAAATTTCACAAAAAAATTCTCTCAGTCGATCAACTCACTACCAAACAGAAACACTGAGATTATCATTATCTATGAAATTGTGTAATCGAGGGTCCTAGTACAGGGTTTCTATAAATGATCGTAACATCGTAGTAGCCGTTGAAATATTTTCTCCATTTGTCGCCTTTCATTCATGGAGATTCACACATTCGAATTTAATTTCTGACATGAATCATTATACTGTCATAGCTGATAAACTCACAATTGTCAGTTTTTCGTTACAATTTTCAAACGATTCTGTTTTTTACTTCGTGATTGCCGTGTTGAAAAGAGGGATGGCTTATTCCTCGGAGAAGAATACATTTATTGTAATGTCTTATTGTCGAAATGGCACATTCATCAATGGTGGATGGAGTTACTCGGTAGTAGCCTGCAAGGATGAGTACCTGGCGAAATATCCTAATGTACAGATTCAAGAATCTT